CAGGCTCCTCCTCCCCATCAGGCTCCTCCCCTACAGGTTCCTCCCCTCCCGTAGGCTCCTCCCCTCCCTGTAGGCTCCTCCCCTCCCCGCAGGCTCCGCCCCTCCCTGCAAGCTCCTTCCCCGCGCATGCGCTGGAGCGGCCTCAGGGCGCCGTGCCGCATGACGTGCACAGGGCTCCTTCGGCTCAGAGAGAAAGGAGACCCAGGACTTCGCAGATGCCAAGTACCCCGCACCTCGTAAGACATTCACAACACCTGCACGGAGCAGGCGCTGATTCATAATTAGCCGTCAACAACAGTTACTTAGTGTGTTGTTAATTAACCATTTACAAATGGCTAATGATGCTAATGAATAATCCGGGGGGAGAAGGTGAAGCACAGAGAGGTTAAGGCACTGGGCCAAGCTCAGCGCTGGGATTTGAACTCCGGCCGTGCGGCTCTTAAATGCTGTACTTTGCCCCGTATGGCCCCGAAGTCCCGGAGGCGCGTCTCCACCGTCCGAGCGGTATCAGTGCGGTCCCCGTCAGCGCCTGCCGGGAATGCTTGCGAAGGAGGCCAGTGTGGCTGGAGCAGAGCGCCGGCGGACAGCGCCGAAGCCTGAGATTCGGAGGCTCCATGGAGCCTGACCCGAATCTGGGACGGCCACTTGCCAGGGTGTGATGGGCCGGGAGAAGCTCCCTGTGCCTCTGTTTCCCCCGTTACAGTGCCTGCCTCCTAGGTGAATGGGAGGGTTGCAGGACGTAAATCGCCCCCAAAGGCTTGGAGCGCTACCCGCTAGGTAGGCGAGGATCCATAACCTGGGGCTGTTGCTCGCACTGGGCTGGGAACGGACCCGAGAGCTCGCCTTCGCACGAGGACCTCTGGTTCCGCTCAGTGCTCAGGGCGTTGAAAAAACAAGGCAACTCGAGGTGGAAGGCTTGTTGGCGTCTGGGTCCCCCAGGGGGAAGGGGCGAGGGGGCGGGGAGAGCCAGGGCGGCCGCACAGGACCCCGGCTCCCGCGCTGACCCCGCCTGTCCCCCGCAGCACATGCGAGAGGCCGCAGAACGGCGGCAGCACCTGGAGCTGGAGCATGAGCAGGCCCTGGCTGTCCTCCACGCCAAACAGCAGGAGATCGACCTGCTGCAGAAGGTGAGCGCGGCCGCGCCCGGGGCAGGGGTGCGGAGGGACGGGGGTGGGGCTGCGCACCCGCGTCTCCCCTCCTTCCCGGCGTCTGTGCCTTCCGATGCTGCCCAGCTCCCCCGAGGCACCCGTGTCCCGAGCTGGACTGCAAACACGGGGACCCTCCAGCGCGCGGTGCCGGCGGGCTCGCGGGGAAAGCTCGCTTGGGTGGCCGCGGGGACGAGTGGCTTCGGCCCTGCGGGCATCAATTACAACTAAACACACACCTGTCTCCATCTGCAAACCTTCCATTCCAGAAAAAATGCCCTGTAAGAACCACAGGAACCGGTTCGACACGACTTCGGTTTTGTTTTCTTTGTTCTTTGGGGGTTTTTTTTGTTTTTTTTTCAGTACTGGTGGGATGGGGGTGGGGAACGGGGTTAAATTAGACGCCCATCCGAGGCAGGGGTATAAACTGCGGTGCGTCCATACTGCAGACCAGAACGGCGTCATTAAAAGGAATAATTTTGGTTTATATCTGCTGAACTGGGGAGATTTCCATCATGTGCTGTTAAGTGAGCAGATCAAGTCTCAGGGCAATATTTTCAGCATGAGAGAGAGGGAATGAACACAAAGAAGAAAGAGAAGCAGAGACTAAGAAACAAGGAAGAAGGAGGGAAAACAGAGGGTAGGACTGAGCAGCTCAGGGGGCCCATCCCCGTGGCCTCCATGGTGGTGCTGGGGGCTAAGAACATTGCCCCTGGGGCCCATCCTCCTCATCAGCTGTGGTCCTCTCCTGTATCCCTCTATGGGGGGCTTGGGGTCCTGGGTGTGGTTCTCATTTCCTTCCGGAAGCCCCAATCCCACCTGGAGCCACTCCTCCCCAGAGGTCAGTGGGCCCCATCAGCCAGAGCCTTTCTGGTCTGGGCTACAGGTGCATGGCAGCCCGTGGGGGGCGCTCCTGAGACTGGCCGCTGATGGGCAGGGGGCAACCCCCTCCCTTGTCTGGGTGGCCCTCCACCCACCCCACCGCCTTTCCAGGCCTCTGATCTTGTAATAAAGGACCCAGGGCTGTGTGCCCACCTGGCTGGCATTGAGAGTCTGCTGGGATGGCCCCTCTCCTCCAGAGTTTGGGAGCAGACTTTGCAGCAGGTGGAGAATTTCCCAGGCTGCTTCTCTGACTGTTTATTGAGACCATGTACCAAGGGTAGCTGTCACTAAGCCCCCGCTGATGGGGACTGTCCAGCCTTATTACCTGCCATAATACACTGGCCGGCACAGTAAGGAGCAACGTTTCATTAGATGTTATCCAGAAAGGATATTGCTTGCTGGGGTCCAGGCAGAGGTATGGCTCTTCTCTTTGCCCGCTGTGCGGAGCCTGGAACGGCTGCTCGGCACCTGAGCCCGCTCCCTGCGGCCCCAGAAGCCCCGTCCCTGGCCCGGCGCCTCCCAGGGAGATAGGAAGCCTGCGGAAATACAGATTTCCTGCCGAGGGGGCAACAGGTCGGTGATTCTCAGCAGCACCTTCTCCGGGGGCCTGGAGTTTCATTTAGGAAACATCCGATGCCAGGAAAGTGCGCCAGAGCCAATTCTGATATTCAGCCTTTTCTGTGCCTCGTCCAATTTCCTTTCTCCCTTCCCTGCATTCATCATGGTCTCTATTTTGGACACACTGATGCTTCATCAGTGGCGGGAGCCGAGGAAGAGAAACCGGTACAAAATCAGGGTGCCAATGTGGCAATGTCTTAGAGCTCTGATTTCTGAACAAAGCATTCGAAGAGGAAGGTTGAACCTTGAGTGGAACGAGACTGGCGATCTCTTCAGAGTTCCTATTTCCATTTGATTTCCAGCATGGAGGGCCAGCATGCTACACTTGCTGATGAGATCATTCATTCATTCATTCATTCATGCATTCAACAAATGTTGGCTGTCTGCTGCATGTCAGCGGCTCTGGGTGATTCCGGAAGGGGAGTCCAGTGGTGGGGGAGACGGCCTGTGCCCCCACGGAGGGAGAGTGAGCCCCCCGCAGAGGGAGGATGAACGAGTTCAGGTCATGCAAATGCCATGCAGGGAAGAAGGGACAGAATGAAGTGACGGGTTCACAAGGGCAGGATTCCAGACAGGGCAAAGCTTAGGTGGGTGGCAGGTCATGCAAGTGCTCGGGTCCCTGGTGCCCGGGGAAGGAGGGATACAGTCCGTGCCCAGTGGGCAGGAGACGTGTCCCAAGGAGGGTGGCGCCAAGCCCCAGGTGCTCTACTGGATGTGAGAAGGAGCTCAATCTAGTTCCAAGGGAAAGGGAAGCCACTGGGGGGCTGAAGCAGGGGTTTAACAGGGTCTGATGCACATCCTTTGAGCATCGCACTGGGGATTGATCTATGGAGGGGCAGGGAGGCCCCTTACCCACTGCTGGGAAGCCTGGCGTCTCAGCCTGGTGCACGGCTGCAGAGGGGAGACGTGGACACATCCCAGGACGGATCAGGAGCGGGAGCCGTCTGCTCAGGGGCTGTGGTGGGCGGGCAGGGGTGGGGGTGCGTGGGAAGGGGCAAGTCCAGGCTGACTCTGGGCCTCCCAGTCCTCACACATCGTGGGTGTCGATCTGGGCTGGACGGAAACATCGCTGAGCTGGCGTGGTCCTGGATGGGCAGACACCCAGCAGCAGGTGCACGGGATGGGAGGAAAGGCTCTGAGTCCTAGATGGAGGGACACCGGTGGACTGCAAAATGCTCTCAGGTGACTCATTGTCCCGTGTTTCTATTTTCTGTGAAAAAGTCAGCGGATGGGGGCGTTTTCCTTGCACATAAACATTTCAGGGCCGCGCAGACCCTGTGCACAGGCTGGGACAGCGATTGTGAGGGGCGTTAGGGCCGGGAGGTCTCGGGGCAACACACCATGGGAGTCAGGAAGGGCGAAGGAAGAACAAATGGCATCTTACCCTAAAAAGAAGCCAGGTACTTACTGGGTGCCAGGGACTATTTTTAACAAGAACTCTCTCGCTTCAAGCCCATTATGACCCTATGAAGTGGGTCCTGTCATCGTCCCATTTCCGAATCGGGGAAGCTAAATCCCAGAGCGATTAAGTCACTTGCCAAATGCCACTCAGCTAGTGAGCAGCATGAACTGGATTTGCACTGAACCCACTGGGCCAGGATGCTCCCTGTAAGGCTCAGGGTGACTGGAGTCGGGCCCTTGTCCCCCTACCACAATAAAAGTACTAGAGCTCTCTGAGGTCCAGAACTGGGTCCCATGGGACAGCAGCATGTTGTCTCCGAGAGCTGCCCGTTCTCTCTGGCAACAGCTGCCAGGCTTTCTCGAATCCGCTCCAGTGGGACCCCCGCCCTCATCTTGCCGTCCATACATGGACATCATGCCAAGGGCTGGTCCTCTGTCCTCATGCTCTTTGACCCAGAGCACAGTTTCGGGTGGTCAGCCCCTCTGTGCTCTAGGCTTCCAGGACACCACCCTCTCCAGTAATTTCCTTCCACGCAGATCATCCCATAAACATCACAGGTGTTCCCCAAGACTCGGTCTGCAAGCCACATCTCTCCGTCTACCCTGGCTCCCGTGGTGACCTCGTCTGGTCCCGTGGGTCTCAATACCATTTGGGTGTGCCCCCCGCCACACTGAGCTCTCCACGTTGGATTGTGAACCCTCTTCTTTCATCCAGCCTTCCACGCGACACCTCGGCACGAGGTCCCAAGTCAAACTGCGTCCTCAGCCACACCTGCTCCCCAGAGTTAATGCCTCTTAATGCTTGTCTGCTTCGTCTCTGTGTCCCCATCACTTCCTTATTCCCATCCTCTGCCAGAGCAGAATTCCTGTCAAGATGGCCACACCCGGGGAGGCTTTACCTCCACTTTCCCCGGAGACTCCTGCCCGGAGCCCTGGCCTTCTCCGCCCACACTGGTTTCTCCTGAGAATGCGGAGCTGGGCCTGGAATCCCCTTCACCCGCGTCTTGGGAACTCCCTTTACCCCTGTCTGTGCTTTGCTGGATCGTCTGCATCCTGGAGCTCGCAGTGTCCTTTTCTTGATGCACCACGGGTCTTAGGTGAGGCCGGGGTTACTTTCCCTCGAAACACAGGCAGTGCATGGCGGTTCCTGCATGCTCCAACCTCACCTCTGGCCGCCCCGAGGACGCGCGGGCCTCATGCATCTGCCGTCAGGGGCCTGGGACCCGAACCTTCTGCGGGGCGCCTCTCTCTCCTTGGAAGCTCGTCCCTCTGCCCAAGATGGTGCTTGGGAGAAGCAAGTGGAAACATTCGTTGAATTAAAGAAAGAAAAAAAGAAAGAGCAAAATGCCCAAGGCTGTTCTAATGGAAATCAAGGTAAGATGAGGCCATCCAGCGGCCGGTAGCTCTGGTAGCCCGTGGTGGCAGAGTCTGAAAGTATAAGAGGCAGCCGAGCAGGGCGCTGTCCCATCTACGGGCCACCAGCCACCGGCTGTCCCCTGCTCCACGGAAATTGGGGGCCAAGCGCTCAGTCCAGAATCCTTGCTTTCATTCGCTCAACACTCCGGTCGACAATTGCGGAGTCCCAGTGTCGGTGACTTCCAGGGCTCGTGGAGCAGCGGTGAGGGACGCAGAGTGGGAGGAGGCCCCGCACACTGTGAACGTTGATTCTAAGTGTGGAAAGCCCGGGGCCCGGGGCCCAGGAGGCTCGCGGGCCGACTCTGAGCTTCGGCCTCCCTGCCTCCTCCTCTCCTGCCGCCCTGGCCTCCGTTCCCCAACCACACCAAATCTGCCCCCTCTTGCATCTTTGCCCAGGAGGCCTGGTCCCCCAGTAATGGCAGGGCCGGTGTTTGTCACTGAGATCCCTGCCCTGCCACGCGGCCTTGAATGGGCTCCACTCCTTGCTCCCGCGCCCTCTGGCATGCCACCCCGTGGGTGGTGCCGTGCTCGTCCATTTGCCTGTGGCCTGTCCCAGAGAGCAGCGTCTGCACTCGGAGGTCGCGGCCGACACGTAGCAGGTGCCCGGCAAACGCTGAGGCGCCGAGATCCCTGGACGCGGAAGGAGAGGTGCAGTGAGCGGCCACCCATGGACGCGGGGCTGGTCTCAGTACCCGACGCTGAGTTCTGGTGCCCGTCAAAGGAGTCCCTGAGCCATGGCTCCGCCCTCCCCATGACCTGTGGGCGCCCAGACCCCGGCGCCCTCCGGGCCATCGGTGGCCAGAGCCCAGCTGCTCCCCGGCTTCAGACTTTGTTTCCCGAGGAAGCTGCATCCTTGCCTAGTTACAGTTGCTGTGGTGATCATCTAAGGGTTTTTCCAGATTTAAAATTCATCTGCAGACCTGACCGATTTTACTGTGGCTCAGAACTGCTCCCACGTGCCAAGTGATGGCTTTCAGGGTTGGGGCTGTCACGGACGTGGGCGGTAGGAGGAGCCGAGCCCACCACATGAGTCGCGATCTCGCTGTTGTGGTGGGTGGCAGGGGATCATGGACTGACCCCTGCGATCATTCAATAGAGTGTCTGCCCCAGTCCCTGTGCACACCTGCGGGACTGGTGTCTGGTCGGTGGCTTCCTCCACGCTGACGGGAGGCTCCCTGCAGCCCCAGCCTGGTTCCGGGACCGCCCGCCCCATTTCCACAGAGTGCCCACAATGCCCTCACCCCGCTGCATCCTCACCAGCATCCACGCCCTCCCCAGTCGCCAAGGAGACTGGGCATTGGGTACACGGTCCATCCCAGCCAAGTGTCCAGACCTTGACGCTGAGTCCAGCATGTCTGCACCTCTGTGCCTCCCGGAACCCACCACACGTGGTAGCCCACTGCCCCGGATGCTCGATGCCCCCGACGACAGCCCCCTTCCTCTGACAGCAGGCCCCCGCGCCCCTGACAGCTACAGTCCTTCCGCGTGTCACTGTGCCCTGCAGGACATCGTGCCTGTGTGAAGGTCACAGCTCCCCCACAAGTTGGCCGTGGCCCCCCAATGAGCTTCGCGTAAGCTGTTGCTTCGATGTTGCAAGAATTCAGCGCTGCCAACTCAAACTGTTAATTTTAACAATCTATTCTGATTGCCCAAATGGCCCAGCTTGCAAGTAGCCTGTGAAAACCAGCTCCTGATTCTCTCTGGAAGCCAGAAACCAAGTCATTACTGCAAACTTGGCGCCGTTTTCACGGCTAGCTTTGGGGTTTTTTGTTGTTTTTTATCCTGCCGGTTGGAAACTAACTTTGACTCAAGTGGCTCAGTGGTGAGGTTATTTATATAATCCCTGTGCGTCCTCCGGATGGCTGTCTTTTTTCGCCCCGTTTTGTTATTTATCGTCGCTCTCATTTCAGCTTTGAAAGGGACGGTTTTAAGCCCTTGAAGGTTGTGATGAATCTGGCGTTCCATTGCCTCCTCGGCTCTCAAAGCCCTCCATGGAGACACGTGCCCATGGCACGCGTGGGGGTGAACCATGCCGGGATCTCAGGCTGCCCCCCAGCGTTGGCCGTGTTGGGGACGCCGGGCCCCACCTCCTCCTGAGAGGCTGTGAAGGTAATGCCCACTGGCTTCTTTGCGATGTGGGGTAGCCCATCCCTACTTACTCTTCTGGCACCTAGAGACCATGTTCCTCTAGAACCGAGAATCCTACATGTAAATCTCAGTGGAACATAGGAATCCTTCACGAGGGCTCGAAATTCTCAGAGGCAGGTGCCCTACAGTGTCGAAGATAAACCTCCCCACAAACCCACTTCTCAGCGTCTTCAGGAACGTCTGTCTGCAAGGCCACTGAAACCCATGCGAGGGGGCGTCCGTGTGGCCATGCAGGCCGGCTTTCCTTCCTGGCTTGGGATTCAGCCTCAGGCTCTCACAGAACTTCAGCACCTCCAGCTTTAAAACGGGAAGTGGCGTGTTCTCCAACCACTGGTGATTGCGTTCATCAGGATGCTTGGTTTCAAGGGACAGAAAACAGCAAAAGGGAATCGGAGTTGTGCACACAACTGAAGTGGGCTTCAGACACGGCTGGATCCAGCACTCTCCTGCCTCGGCGCTCCTCTGCATTGGCTTCGTTTTTGGTTTCCGGGGGGGGAGACCGCTGGCTGGTCCAGCCTCGTCCCTCATGGGGGCAGCATGGCTGCGGCACTCCAAACTGTCCTCCGCTGGGGCCCGGGTCCAGTAGGCAAGGAGTGTCTGTCCCGTCTCCCCCAGCATCCCGGGCAGAAAGGTGGCCAGGCTGCATGCCTGCCCGGAAGCCGACCGCCGAGCGTCTGGGCCTGTTCTCATGCCCTCGGGACGGGGCCGGGTACCCAGCACAATCGGGGCGCTTCCTGGGAGAGGTGGCCACAAACGCCAGGCAGGCAGGCCGCGGTACTTGCTGGCATCGCAATGCCAGACCCCGGGTCTGGGGGCCGAGGGATGAGGACGTTGCATTTCAGTTTTGTGTGAACTCACTGCGGGGTTCAGGCCGCCGCCATCCCGAGACACTGGTTTGGTGAAACGGGTAACGTTTCTTATTCTGTGGAACACATGGCTTTGCTTCAAGTAATGGGAGGAGGGCCGCCCCCCGCCACAGGCTGAGCGGCTGAGAGCCTGCCAGATGCTCAGGGACCCCCATCTCGGGCTCTCCTTGGGGCCGGGGGGATCGCAGCTGACCTTCAGCTACTTGGGGGTCACGTCTGCTTGGTGGCGTCTTGTTTCCCAAGCAGCTTCGGGCACCTGGGAGACGATGGTGCCCACCCCCACCCCATCCCTGAGGCTTCAGGAAGAATCATCCTGCTCTCCTGGGCCCAGCCCCCTTCTGCGTGTGACCGCCTCTCTCCGGAGGAGCGGGGCCTCCCACCGGCCCAGCCCGTCACGATCAGGGCGCGTTTCCCCATTCCCCGTGCTGACAAAGAGCATCCCAGCCGGCCGGCATTCATCCTGTGTTTGCCCGAAGGGGAGAGGAATGAGAACTGGTCTAGGTCCTCAGAACGGAGTGCTTCTTAGGGGGGTAAAAATCAGTGACCCACACCCCGATAATTCAGACATTCATCTGATTCTCTTCTCTTTCCCCTGCTTTAAACATTGACTCTTTTCTCTTTTTATCATAAAAAAAGGCTCAGGTTGAAGCTAAGAAAGAACATGAAGGTGCCCTACGGCTGCTAGAGGTAAGTGCCGGAACCCTGACCACCGGCCTCGGGGGTGGGCGAGGTCAGAAGTGGGGGGCACTCATGAGCACCCGCTGGGCACCAGCCCCTAGCGCTGCTCGCCCACCCCCCGTGCGGTCAGCACAGGGACCACACAGAGAGGCAAAGGCATGTCCCTGCCGTCACGCAGCCCCCGCGGAGCTGGGGGCCTCACGTGGGCCGCTCTCCCGCACGGGCTCCTCTGGGGGGCATGCAAGGAGGAGGAGGCCACGCTCTTGCTCGGGATGAGGAGAAGGCGTGGGTGTGGGTGGAACCGTGGATGGTTCAGGGACAGCGCTGATGCTGGGGAAGCGCTTGGCAGGTGCTATCTGGGGAGGCCTTTGCAGAATGAGAGAGGGGACAACCCAGGGGATCCGAGCGGTGGGCGCCATCTGAGTCGCGGCCACAGTACCGCCCGCAGTGAGCCCTCGTGGGGGACTTCCTGCGGCTGCAGACAGAGGCCAGGCAGCCCCCCGCCCCTTCCCTACAGACACACAGGCGGGGTGGCCCCGCGTGGGCCTCCGTCCCCAGATATGGGGGGAAGATGGCCCCGTCCTTTGCCCCCAGGGCCACGGCGGCCACGGAGAACAGTGTGTGCCTCCCCCAGTTCTCTTGCGTTGCCTCATGACATCTATTCCTCCTGCAGGGGAAGGTTCCACCATTACCATCATATGTATTAGAATTGGTTTTGTGAGAGCGTCCATTAGCTAATGAATATCTGGAGGGGTGAGTGTGATGAATGGCAGGGGGAAATCTATCACCTGAGGGAATGGCAGCAGCCCCCAAATGGCCACGCTTCTCCCTGAAAAATACCCCCCCGCGCCCCCCCCCCACGCCCATTCGGATCGCCTCCCGGCTGCAAGCACACTTCCTCGCCTCCGCCGCTCAAGGCCGCTGACAGGAGGTGTATTGTGCGCCCCTGCCCTCTGGGGTCTCCTGGCCGGAGCCGGGCCGGGGGCGCTGCATGCTTTGGCATGGGGGTCACACTGGGACGCGCTTTGGGGGAACAGGGGCAGTGCAGACGTGCCGAGAGTCCCGTGTCTTCTCTTCTTTACGACGTCTTCCCTGGTTGTGTCTTTGCTTTGTGCTTCACGCAGAACGCGCTGGACGGCATGCAGGTACTCGAGGGTCGTGCCTCCCCCTGCTGGTGTGCTCGGCGCTGCTTTCCCTCGTGCACGGGGCGGCCACGCGTCCCTGGGCCCGCTCAACCCGCCTCTTCTCCCGAAGCCGGCAGCCCCGAGCTTCCTCCGGATGCGGGGCGGGGGGGGGCTGCTGGGGGCCGGGGGCGTGAGGAGCCGCGGGCAGGACCTCCCCGGCGGGGGGCGCTGCCAACTGCCAGCCAGGCCCCGGGACACAAGCTCTGTTCCCGCAAGTGTTGAGCAGGCTCAGCGAACCTGGTCTCCCGTTTCCCGCCGCGGCTGTAAGGGTCAGGCTGGGGGGACAGCCCGGAACCCCGATGACCGCGAGGGGTGGGGTGGGGTGGGAGGTGGGGACACTGATCCTGCCCTCGGGCCAGCCGTGCCCAGCAGGCGGCCCGTCTGTCGGTCATCAGGATTCCACCCTGGCCCCAGAACGTTCCACTGCTGTGTTTGTGTCTGCCGTGTGTGCGCTTGGGGCCCTCCTGCAGGCGAGGCCGCGGCCCTTCTCACCACCCCCACCGAACAGGAGGAACAGCGTTGTCCCTCTGAACAGGGTTTTGAGTGTTTTCCAAAACTCTGAGTTTGATCGCGTATTCACGGAAGGGATGATCTTCCCACTTTGAGGAGGAGTGGTTCTCACAGTGGGGTCCCCAGACCAGCAGAGTCGGCATCAGCTGGGGGCTTGCTAGAGATGCAGATTCTCAGGTCCCGCCCAACCCGTGGAGTCAGAAAGTGTGGGGGGACCCAGAAACCGGGAGGGACCCAGCCGCCCTCCCGCCCCCGCTCCCGGGGGCAGTTCCGATGCAGCTGCTGTCTGGGAAGCACTGCTTCGCGTCGTGAGGCTAGTCTGGGGACGGAGGGCATAGGGGACGAGCCAGTGCCCTGGAGTCTTGGCCGATCCGTGGCTCAGCGTCTTAGTGACCTGAACCTCCACCCCTCCCACGGGTGTGCGTCCCGCATGGCACGCTGGGGACTCCCCTGAGTCAGGTGCTCTCCTCAGCAGAACAGCCGCCCCCTTGCCCAGCGGGACGCGCACACGGGACTCCAAGCGTTGTCTCAGCAAACATGTGGCAGCAAACCCCCTCCCAGGGGCCGTCCACGCACAGCCGGTCTGTGGGTGCTCCTGAGCCCTGTGTTCTGATGAGTGAATGGCCAGGGGGTCTGGGGACGAGAGGAGGGGGCGGTCTCCATCCCCGTCAGGACGCGAGCAGAGTCCAGCACCTGCAGAATCATCCGGGCTTGCTGTGCGGCCTCGCCGAGGTGGGCGTCAGGCGTTAGCTGAAAATAGAGCTTTTCCAGAATCAAGACCGAGCACTCTGTGAACTGCAGAGAAGGCACCATTTAGGGAAACGGCGTCCCCCGCACTTTACGGGGGAGTTATTTCAAGACAAAGAAGGAAGAGAACGTTTTAAAATTAATAATAATAACGACAACCCAATGACGGTGACCTGGGGTTCCCTGAACACTCACTTTGTGCCAGACGCTGTTCTAAGGGTGCATCTGGGGACATCTAGGACACATGCGCATGCCATGTCCCTTAATCTTCACGACGACCCAGGGGAAACCGAGGCACAAGTGACTGGCCCAAGGCAAGCTGGTAAGAAGCGAGTCTGGACTCAAACCCCAGGAGTTTGGCGCTGCTTTGCAGCCGGCTTCCCTGGCCCCCACGTCCGTCCTCCCTGGGAAGTGGGGTCAGCTCTCCCGCCCGCAAAACCGCAGCCGGCGTTGAATTGTGAATGAGTTCACACGGTGACGAGACCCGGAAGCGCTGCCTTCCCTGGCGGGGGCGCAGGCCACATGAACACTGTCCACCAGGCACTGGACACGTGTATCGGATTTAATCCGTAGACCCCCCAGTGAGGTCGCTACCATCATCATCCTCTTCCCGGATTGGAAATCCAGGCACAGAGACCGAGTCCCTTGCCCCGGGACGCACAGCTCGCAAGAGCAGAGCCACGCCGTGAGGGCAGGAGGGCCAGTTGGCGGCGCCGTCCGAGGCTGCTGAGAAGGGGTGCAGGGGAGCAGTGCCTGTGTGCGGGGTTCGGGGGCGGCGGGCTCCGGGCCCGCTGCAGGGGAAAGCCCCGGATGAGCTCGCTCTTGCCACTGTCCGTGCTGTGTGCTTTGCGTGTGTGTTCTGTATGCTTTGTGCCTTATTCTTCGGGGCGCCTTCCCAGCACCTCCCTGTGGCCGCCAGCTTGCTGGCCATCAGCTCTGGGACGAGGCTTCAAACTGCCCGCGACGCCAGACGCTTGTCCCAGCCGGGGAGGAACCTGCGCAGGCTCCTTTCATCCTGGGTCTCATTTGGGGAGGCTTTGATGAGCAGACAGTGCACCCCCTGACCCAGGCCGGCACGGGGTCTTCTCGAGGCAGGCCCAGCATCTGGGCAGTGTTGGGACCTCCCTGGGCCCTGGGCCCTGGGCCTCTTTGCCTCATGAGTCCCATCCCTTCCTCCATGAAAGTACTAAAAATTACATTTTACATGCACCTGCCTGGGTAAAGAGGATATAGTCCACACTGGATTCATTATTATTTGTTTGTTTCTGATTTTAAAGGAAACTAAAATGAAAACATTTGCATGGGTCCCTAAACGTACCGGCCCCATGTTGCTGGGCCTAAGGGGGGTCACTCTGCCGGGCTGGTGTTAGGACACTGAATCACCATGTGGCAAGTGAGTGTGTGTGTGGGTGAATGAGCACATGCAGGAGGACACGCGCTTGGTCCCATCAGAAAGATGAACTGGTTCTCAGGTGCATTTGTAGAGTGAGGCTCAGGTCACAACCTCACATCGAACATATGAAGGTCGTTCTCTGTCGGCACCGTCTGCTGCCAATTGGGGAAGGCCCCGGAGAACTCCCCTCCAAGTGATGCCATGGGGACACTGCAGGGGGACGATGCGGGGATGCCATGGGGAGGACGTGGGGGGATGACTCGGGGACGATGCAGGGACGGCGCGGGGACGACCTGGGAATGTGGGCTCCCTGCATCTTGTGACCGTGCCGTCTGGCGCGTGGGGCTTCCTGGTGACCGCAGCAGGGACAGCTCCTACCTGCTCTGCTGTGTCACTCCTGGACCCCTGCACTGGCCAGAGCCGGTGACGCTTCACTGCGGGAGAAGCCAGAAGTGCCGTCTCCCTGGGCCCCGGGAATGAAACCAAACGTGGTTGATCCGTGGTATCGTCCCCACCCCGTTTGAATTCTAGAATCCTTATGGGCAACGCGATTTTGATATGGAAGTGTGCAGAATAGTAGCCAAGTTGAGAATCTGAGAGGTGGACACATAACGATTTGTAATTAATGTTTTATATCTGATGCGTCTTAGGAAGCCCCTGCGCCCCGCCCCCCCCGGGTCTCTGTGCTCCTGGAATAGCCTTAGCAGCCCCGTACCCCTGAGGCTTTGCTGCGAGATGAGGTGGTCGGGACAGGGAAGCCGAGCGTGCCCCGATGCTTGGGAGCGTGGCTGCCCCGGGACTAACCCCCACTCCAGCTCTGTGTCCCGGGGGCTGCCGCCTGCCCCCCAGCTCTTGGCACCCCGAAGGTGATACAGGTATTCTGAGGTCCCACCAGTGACAGGTGCTTATCTGCACACGTAATACTGCGTGACGAACGCACATCTGCCCAGAAACAGGGAGACTCCGGCGATCCAGACCCACCAGCTTAGAATTCACTGCCGTTGCAGCTGGAGAATTGGACAAATGTTGAATCACACGAACCAAAGCAAACGTTGAAGACACTTGTGCTGGAGACAGGCATGGCGTAGGATGCTAACCATCAGCCGAAGAGAAGTCCGCACTCACCAGAGTCTCCCCTTGGAGACGGTGTCATTCCATTCAGTCTCAAGACTGTG